TAAATGTGACAGATTGTAATATATCTCAGTAAAGAAATTTAAAAAAAAAAAAAAATTTAATTTAAAGTATTAATAATTTTTTTCATTACAAATTATCACATAATATCATTTAAAATTAATGAATAATCAAGATATTTAAACTATAGTAAAAGTATTTTTCAGTAGTTTGTGCTCAAATTGTTTCAAAACATTCACGGGATCTCACTAATTACAGCCGTCATAGTTAAAACTGGGTCTAGCCGCTCAAAACATCGTTACATTTTCAGTGGATCGATTAAACATACTTTAAACAGCACATTGATTAAACACACATTTTTAACTGAAATTCATTCATAGCACTCACGAGGTTGCACCCGATAATTTAAGATGTTAAACTTAAAAATCACTACAGCAATTTATTCGAAAATTCCTAACATACCTTTCAGCATGTTGATTAAACATATTTTATTCAATACAGATCAGTGTATTACGCACAAATTGTTTCAAAGCACTTGATCTGAATGAACATTTTGAGACATCAAACTTAAAAATTGAACCACCCGTTGGCATGAAAAATCGTTACATCCTTTTACCGGACAACCAAATACAGAACGCCCGTGTCAAGGGATTTCACCGAACAATTTAAGATATCAAACTTAAAATTTGATTCATCCGTTCCCTTTAAAAAGTATTACAAAGCTTTTTGCTAATTGATTAAACACATTTAATTTAATCGCGATTGAGGACCAGCGGCACAATTCACGGTTTTAACCAAGATTTAGATATCTGAACTTAATCTACCAGTAACAGCTCAGCTCTGTTATCACTACTTTCGGTCGTTGGTAAAAAGTTTCTAAACCTAGAAATAGAGGAAGGAAGTAGGAAATTACTAATAGGTTTTTCTATAGTTCTTTGTTGTGTGAGCTTCTCTGTGTTTTCTCAAGTGTTTCTCTTCGTTTAACGAAAGTCAAACTTAAAATAACCTAAATCTATCACAAAATTCATCATCAGACCAATGGATATACTTTTTTTTTCCATTAGTAAAAATGCATTTAAATCGAGGAATTCCTCATCATCTGCGAGGTCGTCAAATTCTAGCATAATCCGTTTTGCAAGAGAAAAGATAAATAAAAATGGTTAACACAAATGATACAGCACAAAAAAAACCGTGGAAGGTTATCATAGTTGCCAAGGGTAACCCTAGGTAAGTTTTTCTTTAAAGTACAGCTTGTCGTAAACCAACGACTTCCTGTCCTACAGTTTCCTTTAACAATACTACACTTATCCCTGTTGAGCAAATCCGATACCTAAGACTCCACCTGGACAAACGACTAACTTGGGATCCTCATACTAGATTGAAACGACAAGAAACCGCTCGACGTTTCCGATTACTTCAGCACTTACTAGACAAACGCTCTAAACTTCCCATTAATTACAAAAGACTCGTATACTTGACTATAATAAGACCTATTTGGACTTACGGAGTTGAGCTATGGGGCTCCACTAAACCATCGAATTCCTCTCGCATCCAATCCTTACAATCCAAAATCCTTCGTAAAATCCTCAATGCTCCTTACTTTGTCACTAATAAAATTATCCATAAAGATCTTAATGTTCCTTATGTTTCTGACCTGGTCCAATCCAGATACCTATCCTTCCATAATAAACTTCAGAATCATCCCAACCCTCTCGTTTCTAACCTTGCTTCCTCTTCAATTATTGATAACCCTCCGAGGCGTCTGAAAAAAAGATGGCCTCGTGATCTTCTCATGTAGACAAATTATTAGGGTGCTACCAGTGGGTAGTTTCTCAACAAGCGTGTTTCATGTAATAATATTTCTCTGTATAAATTTACTTGAGGTATTCATACTAATACAGTTGTAAATGTCATAAAGAAATAGAAAAAAAAAAAAGTCAAGAAAAAAAAAAGTACAGCTTAAGCGCCTACGGTCGACCGATCAAAATTAAACTTGGTTTAATCTTAGATAACGCTTAATCTAAGATTTTTTTTGCTTCCTTTTTAAAGTTATAATAGGTTAAGGCAAATGCAATTTCCAATGCACTACATGTAGATTTGTCTGAACATCCTTTTTGTTGTGTTTTTTTTTCATCTGTTTGTGTTTTTGGTGTTTTTAAACGTATAAACCCGGCTTCACACATGCAGAGTATGTGTTTTGAAGTCATGGATTGATGTGAACTTCATTTATCTATTCTATTGACCAAGATACACGTTATAACTTATATTTACCACAATATGCGTTATTCTTACCCAAACAATCAAACCTGAATGTTTAATCAAACACATAAACTGACTGAGATATTGACAGATTCAACAAAACGCATACTTTTTTTCCGGCTACCGCCACGATTTTCTTTCAGACATTGTAAATTAATGAATCGAGGGAAGCGTCGCCAAACATTAACAGAAAGATGATTCACCTCAAGTTCGAATCATTGTTCTAAATTTACGACCAAATACCAACAGGTACAAGTAGGTATTCCGGAAACTAAAGGGAATAATAAAAATAAATTATTTAATCGGTTACCTTGCCAATAAAATAACAAGTCGCGACTTCCAGCCTGACTCACCAAGGGATAGTCAAGAGGCACCATTGACGTTAATCTCCTTAAGAGAACTCTTAAGAAGAAAGATAGGCTGTTGCGGGGAGACCGGGATGAACACCCCAAGGTCAATGGCGCATCTCTCACTTCCTATCTCAAGATATTTTATTGCTCAACTCTTCTTAAAAACAGTGTAAGCTAAAGGAAAATTTAAAAAGTGGTAGGTTATATACAATTACACTTGCTGCAACACCCATACAATGCTTCTTCTTGTCTTTTTGGTTTGAATCTTTTCATTTCAAAAATTCGTAAAACCGTCGAATTGTGCCCCATCGACAATTCAAAACACCGTCAAAATAAACCTTCTCAGAATATGATGGCGCAACCAAGTTTCGCCAAGAAATACCCTTCTGGGAGCCTCTGGGCTGTTGTAAACTATGAAAGTATTATAAACATTCAAATTCACAAATGATGGATGTTAGATTTGAATATTAAGATAAGTGAAAGTAGAAATCATATGCATTTTATATAAACAAATGCAGGATTTTCCTGGGTCGGCGGAGAAGGCAGAAGATTAATACCAGAGTTAAATGCCCCTGGCACCGGGAAACGAACGCGTAATTATTTTATATCTATGTTTTATAAAAGAAAGATTAACCCCAACTAGGTTTTATAACACTTAAATTAGTAGTACATGTAAGCAATTAATTATTAAAAACATGAGTGCTTAGTAAATATAAAATAATTCAATTTTATAATATTGGGTAGATTATACTTATTTCTTTAGTGGATTAAGTAAAGAAAAATCTAGATGATAATCATGGGCGCAATGGCTCCTCACCCCCTGTCCACTACACTCCTCTTAAATAATTTGAATGGAAATTAAATGTAATATAATACAAAAGGTTTGCCTACCCTAACCTAAAATAACAGTAAAAAAAGATTAAAAAATAAAACACCTTAAAATAATAGAAAAAAATCAAACATTATAAACAAAATTACTTATTAATGGTCTTTAATTTTAATTAAAGATTTTTTATTTAGGGCTTAGGTTAGAGTTTGATTTAGTTTCCCACGAACCTGATAATCGGCGTCACCATTAAATTAAGTTTTGATTATTATTTTTCAGCCATATATGAACTTATTTCAGTTTAATTATGATGTTTATAGTGGACCTATCCAAGGATAAATTTTTTTTCTAAATTATATCCCACAAGTAAATATATTTTTAATAAGCATATAGAGGTATTTTGTAAAAAATTGTGCTGTCGTTGAGTTTTATATAATCGATATATGTGTCAATGCAAACACTCGTAAATCCCTTACCACTAACCACTTCACATCGAGTGTTCTGATTCAGACATATAACCATACCCATTTCCACCAACATATTGTCGGTTTATTGCAAAAACTCATTAAGTAACATTTCATAACCTTAAATCACTGGAGATTTTGATGAATTTTTCTTTTGTGAATTCAGAACATTAAGCACTTGTGTCAACTATATTTGATTTATACAAAAGAGTTTGTATCATTTTAGTGCACTTACTGTATTTTTGTATCGATAAATAAGATCGAAAATTACAAAAACATTGTTAAAAATTCATCTCTAACAGAAATGTACTTGGTGACTTTTTATAATAAACCTACTAAAAAGATATATATCATCAATTCATGGATAATATTTGAGACAAAGAATTAATAAAATTTGATTTAAAACTGTGACGACTTATATTAATTACTACACAATAGGGACTTCGACTGTGGGATCAATGGGGGATCGATGAAATGAAAAAAAAAAATATTTTCCATTGGTCCATATTTGGTTTTGTGAGTTATCCAAGCTAAATAATTCACAAAAACAAAGTGCTCTCTATACAAATTATTATATAACAATAAAGCTACTGAATGCAAGCACATTCCAAAAAGAAATATATCTCATTGTTCCTGTAGTTACTGTTTTGTTTGTTGTTGTTTTTTTTTTTGCTTTTAAAGGCCACTTAAAAATCATTTCATAAAGATAATGAATCGTTTTTCTTCAAAGTATTTACTGTTACAAAGGAATAAGCAATACAGACAACATTCATTTGAATGTTGCTAAGCACCGACAATTTCTAGAAGTATGAAATATATGATATACATGAGGCTGTTTGAAAGGTAAATTTTTATATAAATAAAAATAAAATTTGCTTCCTATTTTATGAAGCATAACTGTGAAGACTTACATTTATTACTACACACTTGAAACAGATAATAGCTGAATCGTTAACAAAATATCTAGGTCATTCAGATGAAAATGGCTTCATGTTTATGGTAAACATGAATATTACATTGTATATAATAAAATTTTGTTGATTATTTCTGATTACGTGGCAAACTTTAATTTCTTTATGAAATATCTGTTTTTGTTTTTTTAAATAAATAATTAACTATAACATAAAAACTGTAATAATGCTCACGTAATTATAAAGGTGAGTGGCGTAATGAGGCAGACGAGCGTGGGTATTACGTGGAGGTTCCTCCTGGCGAGAGTCGAACTCAGTCCCATCGCGGGTCGGACACCGAACTGCCTTATCTAACCGACTCCGACATCATCGCCAGCTCTCGGGGTGGGGTTGTCCTGTAGTGGGGTCTATCATCACAACATTTCGGCATCAAGTGTTTTAAGAAGAAAAAAATAAATGGAAAATATTTCAAGTGAATTCCTTTTGTTGATTAATTAATATGTTTTCGTTTTAATATTATAAACGTTATCAACGGGGAATCACGTAGAAGTATTCTTATTCGAGCCTTGGGGAACAACCATTTTTTTTATCAGGATAATTCATGAGTATTTCATCGGCAACCGGATTAAAAATAGCACAAGTAGTAACCAGAGGTATTCATACAACGTTATGAATTGAATTTAAGTCATACTGAAGTTATAAGATTTTTGTGATTTTCAAAACAAAAAAATCATGTAAGGGACTCAAACATTAAGCCTAGAAACATAGCCAAGCTTGTGTAAATGGTTTTCTACGCTTGAATGCGACACATTTAGGGCCATAGCAATCTCTCGCACTGATTGGGAGGGATTTTGATCAACAATGGCCTTAAAATTGCTCGTTTCAATTTCAATTGGGCGACCAGACCGTTGAGCATCATTGATGTCAACATTTCCTGAATGAAATTTGGCAAACCAATTTTGACAGGTACGTTCATTCGGTTAAGGCATCGCCATAAACACTACACAATTTTCTATGAGCTTCTGCAGCACGCTTAACTTTTTTTAAATAATACAACAAAATATGGCGATAATCAATGATATTTTCTTCTAAATTCACAGTGTAATAACAAACACAATACTAAGCTAGTTTGAACAAGAGTTAACAAATATAGTTGTTGACATATTATAAACATGAGAAATATATAAGTATAATAAGAAGTATATCATACTGACATAAAAGTAAACAGAAAAACCGAAAGTACTTATTTGCCAACTTATGATAATAGCATATGTCATAAATAAAAGAACCAGAATCCTCAGGTTGATAAGTGCATGATCAAACATCACATTTAAAAATAGCATATGCAAACTTACACGGGCGGATCAACGGGGAGGGACCTTCGGGCTGAAGCCCCCTCCCCCAAAATGGTAAAATATAATCATGTTGTACAGAAAAAAATATTAAAAACTACCTCTTAAAGTATTCTTGTTAGTGTAGTTACATTTAATAGGACTTCAAGAACCACTTAAACACCATTTCATATAAGTAGTTAATTACTTTCTTTTTTTTCAAATTAATGATCGTTATATGTATATGAAAAAAAAATCTTTCGGGCTGAAGCACCCCTCTCCCAAAATTAAATCCTGGATCCGCTAGTGCCAACTTATGAATAAAAGGAAAATGAAAGGAAACATTGACACAAGAACTCTGTGCAATCGATAGAATTATCATAAAAATGTATAAAATCGATGATTATAAAGTGACACTTCTGGTTAGTCGATTTTTTTGAAAAAGTTGCTGTAACATTCCAGGTATATCACCTTCATACTCTTTTAGAAATACTCGTCCGAACATTCGATTTGCACTAGTCCGCTAGCTCAAAGCGGAGTATTTAAAAATGACGACCATTAAAAAAAAAAGGAAGCGTAAAATTGCACCATTTGAAGATGATTTGTTTAAAGTCAACCCCTTAAATTTTTTTTCCTGATTCGAAAATTTTCTGCTATTCGGTGTTTCCGTTGGGTAAGCGGGGAAATTCCAAATTTTATTTGTTTTTATTTTTTTTTTGGTGATATTCGATTCCTGAATGAATTGTTGCTATATTTTTTCCAAATATACATATTTTGGCTTCTAAACATAAATTTAATAATGACCTATTCTAGCCCATCGAAAATCTACCAATTCAAGCAGTAAATTATGTTATACCCCTGACTGAAACGACTAGAAACTGCACGACGTTTTCGAATACAGCAGCACTTACTAGACAAACGCTCTGAACTTTCAATCAATTACAAACTATTCATATATATGACAATAATAAGACCTATTTGGACTTACGGAATTGAGCTTTGGGGCTCCACTAAACCATCGAATTCCTCTCGTATCCAATCTTTACAATCCAAAATCCTTCGTAAAATCCTCAACGCTCCTTACTTTGTCACAAATAAAATCATCCATAAAGACCTTAATGTTCCATATCTTTTCGATTTGGCCCAATCCAGATACCTATCCTTCCATAACAAATTGCAAAACCATCTGAATCCTCTCGTTTCAAACCTTGCTTCCTCCTCGATCCCTGATAACCCTCCGAGGCGTCTGAAAAGAAGATGGCCTCGGGATCTTCTAATATAGAACTTTAATTTGAGTTCTACCTATGGGTAGTTTCTCTTCATGTTATACATGTCCTGTTACCAATGTCACATTTACTTGTTGTATTTTCCATGTAATACAGTTATAAATGTCATTAAAATAAATTAGTTGGATGAGCATTTTTCAGCTTCAATTTGAGCTCTGATACTACACATTCACATAAAATTCTCTACACGATAACGGAGGAAATTTGCGATCAGATCACAAATCAATGGAAGAAAAGCATCAACAAAGAACTGCATGCAGTAAGTGGTCAGTCAATATCTTATGATATGAAAGCAGAAAACATATATATACACTATCGATCAAAAGTTTAGTCTCACCCTCATATTTTTTAAAAGAAATAAATAACAAAACTAGTATGTCTCAAATAATAATAAATCAACTTTATTTTGATAAATGTATGTACCATTATTACATAACAACTATAACTTTATTTACAAATTATGAATACTGCCCAATTAGTGCAATCTTCTAGTTAAGAAAGTTAGTTTTAATTGGTACATTGTATCTTCTGAACGTTTCTCAAGAGCTCAGCCCACACAAGTTCAATGGGGTTGTGATTAAGGGATTGAAATTGTCAAGCCAGTATTTAGGTACTTCTTGCTTATATTTTGTTTCAAAATGAAGTTTCTACACAATTTAAAAGAATGTTTCAGAATATTATTCTGCTGGAAAATAAATCCTTAACCCACAAGGAGAATCATGGCACTGCGAAATTCCGTGATATATTTGTTTTCCGTGATTCCCTCTATTCAGACGAGATCTCCAACTTCCGACAAAACATCCCCAAACCATAAATGGATCCTTTACCTTGCTATTATATCTAGTCCTATCATAAATATTTATGACTATTAAAAGGAAATATATACAGATTTCACCAGAAAAATTATTTTTTTCAAAAACATTATTAGAAAATAAAACGTATATCTATAGAGAGTAAAAAAAAAAAAAAATTAATCAAAATGTTCTCTCAAAATGTCCCTTTTACCTTGACACAGGCTTTTAATCTCAGTGGATAGTCATCAATAGCAGCACGCAGCGCTTCTTTAGGAAAGCGCTCAACTGCTCGGACCAGAGACTGCTTGAGGCTTTCCAAGTTAGGGTGTGCTCTGTGGCATGCCATCCTCTCCAGTTCGGACCAAAGCCGATAATCTAGTGGGTTGAGGTAAGGACTTCCTGAGGGTCAATTCGAGGCAGAGATGAACTCTCGAATGTCCTTTTGCAGCCACTGCTGAGTTGACCTGGTCTTGTGAGCTGGAGCAGAATCCTGCTGGGAAACCCAATGACTTCCAGCAAACAGAGTATCATTTAGAAGCTTGACAACAGGTTCCAAAATATCGTCCTGGTAGTTTTTAGAGGCTGTTTTAACTCCTTTTTCACAAAAGTGGAGCTTTGTGGAGCCATCATAGCATACTCCTCAGCAAACCATCACTGGGGAATGGTGATTACCTCTTTACACTCTTCCAATGACTTTCTGAGCTTCTTCAGAGCTGTGTGCGTACGCACGATCGTTTCGACGATTAAATTTATCTTCATTTGTAAATTTTTTTTCATCGCTAAACAAATCTTTCGATGAAGACCGTTGGTGTAACGGCCAAGAAGCACTTTTCATCTATCTAATCTTTTTTTTTTATGGAAGTGATTAACCTTTGTTCTGCCATTCTTCAAAATGCAGCCATCCTAAGGTCACGTTTTATTATGCGAAACATTGATTTGACAGAGATTTCCATTTCCCGAGACATGATTTGTTGTTTTCGAATGGGATTTCTTCTGATTCGAGCAGCCACTGCTCTCACTGCGTTAGCCGTTCTCACAGTGTAGGGATGACTCGGTCGAGCTCTGTCACATACAGACAGGGTCTCATTATATCTATTTATAATGCGGTACACGATTATACCCAAAGATTTCACTATGTTGAAAATCTCTAACCTACATTTTCAAACTTTGTGTAAGGCGATCACAGCTATTCGGTTTTCTTTATCACCCCACTCCATGTTAACTGAGCGAAAGAAAAATACAAACTAATTGGGGTTATTATCCTGACATGTAAAGAAAATAACCTGAGAGAGGTACGAATTGTCTAAATAATACCCAAGGATGTAAACAAAGTTCAACTTTTGTAACAGTATTTATGGCAAAACCAGGTACATTGATTTATCATGTCTTCACCAACCGTACAACGAACATACAGTCTTCTTTACTTACAAAGAGTTCAAATTTTGATTCAGCAGTGAACAACACTTTCACCACTATTCTGCTGACCAATTTCCATGTTTTTTGGAGCATTCTAATCGTTTGGTTGTTTTATTTTATTTACGTTTTAACATTACTCTAGGTCTCCCAGATCGTCGGTGTCTCATATTTTATCTTCAACGTTCTGATCACAGTCTGAGAAACTTTACCCTTAGTTGCAATTTGTCTAATCTAATTGCCTTCTCTGTGTATAATATCAATAATAGAAAGTGTTTTAACACTCACCTCTGCTTTTCGACCCATATTTTCATAATAAGCCATGTAAAAAATGGTTAACGTTTTATTTTCAATATTTACCGGCTATTCTAAATTAAAACTTTAAAATATATTTTTTTAAATGTTTTATGTACATTAACTTACCTTTGAATGAATCTCAGAAAATTAAGATTAAATATATTACAAATTAATACATTTGTTATAGGCATACTATTATTAGTTTACTTGATCAATAACAAAACAAAGAGATCCTAAAGAAATAGTAAACATTTTTGGAAGAGGGTTAGTAGGAT